AAATTAAGGTAGAAAAGGAAGGAAGGATGAAGGAAGAAAGGAACAAAGATAGAAGCAAAGAGGGAGAAGAGAAAGAAAGAAAGAAAAAGAAAAAAGAGGCAAGGAGAAGAAGGAAGGAAGGAAGGGGAGAAAGAAAGAGAAAGGCAGGAAGAAAGCAAAAGAGAAAGCGAAAGAGAAAGAAAGAAACCCCGATTCAGACAAACCCTTCTATCCGGATTCAAACTCTCAATTTTCTCTCATCCCTGCCCCCCCCCCCCCCAAGGCTCCATGCTGGTCCGGAGAGCTGTGTTGCCGGCCCCCCCAGATGGGGGCTGGGGCTGGGTGGTGGTCTTGGCTGCCTTCCTCCAGTCCGCCTTGGTCTTCGGCGTTTTGCGCTCCTTCGGCGTTTTCTTTGTGGAGTTTGTGACTCATTTCAAGGAATTGTCCGGACGGATTTCCTGGATCACTTCCATTGGGATCGCCGTGCAGCAGTTTGCCAGTGAGTTTGGGGGTGGGGTGGGGGGCAGAAAGGAAGTGGGGGTTACTGGGGTGGGGGGCGGGGGGGCGGGGGGGGAGGGAGCAACTGGCATTGATTCGACCCCAAGGAACAGCTGTTCACCTACAGAGCGTATTTCCAGGCTTGGCAACTTTAAGCCTTGTGGACTTCAACTCCCAGAATTCTGTGCGCTTCTCAGTCTCAGGCTGGGGAATTCTGGGGGTTGAAGTCCACAAGGGTTAAAAATGGCCAGGTTTGGAGACTCCAGCCTCTAGGACGGCGCTTCTCAGCGAGTTTAAGGTGGGCGAACTTCAGCTCCCAGAATTCTGTGTGTTTCTCCGCCTCAGGCTAGGGAATTCTGGGAGTTGAAGTCCACACAAGCTGCTAGCCTTGAGAAACTACATGGGTGTACAACGACCTGAGAATCCGTATCAATATAAGAACCAAGGGCAGCTTTGGCATCTGGATAATCCTCAACTTATGCCCACAGTTGAGGCCAGACTTTCCATTGCTAAGAAAGGGGATTGTTAAGTGACCGTTGTTAAGTGAATCCTGTAGTTGTTAAGCGAATCCAGAGTTCCCCCGTTGATTTTGCTTGTCGGATGGTTGCAAAAACCTTACCCCAGGGACAGTGCAACCATCATAATTATGAGTCAGATGCCAAGCATCTCAATTTGGATCCATCCCGTGACCGTACTGCAATGGCCGTAAGTGTGAGAAATGGTTACAAATCACTTTTTCATTGCCATTGTAACTTACAATGGTCGCTAAATGGATGGTTGTAAGTTGAGGATGAGCAGTGGCTGCTCCATCAAAGGGGAAGGGGAATTGGGTAGTGTCAGAGCATTTGCAGTGTGACTACAATTGTGAGACAACTCAGGAGCAAAACACGAGAATTTGACATTTAACAGTGGTTTATCTACAAGACCGTTACATACAGAAATACACGTGATAGGCAAATACCTGACAAGCAATCAACCTTCTTAACTCTACACTGAGAACTCTGCAATGGATACAGGACACAAGGAGAGAGAATGCTCCCTCTAATGGCTGCCTTTATATAGACACCTCTTAAAGAGGTAAAGACTCCTGTGGATCCATTCTTCGTCTTAAAAGGGCAATCCCGATGCTGTGCAGATTCATCCTTATTGCACCAGCCTTATATTGCATCAGCTTTACATCTGGTCGGCTCTTAAATCCAATACTTTTAACAGGTAGCAGAGATTGTAACCAGGTTTATCATTCTTCGCAGGTCCTGTGGGAACGGCCCTGAGTTCCCACTATGGGGCTCGGCCTGTGATTATGGTTGGTGGGTTTCTCTCCGGGCTGGGACTCCTGTTGGCATCGTTTGCTACCCGGTTGGTGCATTTATATCTCAGCATTGGCCTCCTTTCAGGTACGTTGTGAGAAATGCTGCGCTCTCTTCGTGGCCTGAATATCACCCTGAAATATCTCCAACGGTTTAAAAAAAAGTCACCCGTCCTTTTGCAGAGACACCGTTGCTAAGTGAGGCCCTTTCAGTCGAACGCACTGTTTCTTTAAGCTCGTCAGCTTTAAGTCGGGTGGACTTCAACCCCTAGAATTCCCTGACATTCCTTTCGATATCTACACCTATTGTTGTGGCCTGCTTATTCTCTTACAATCCCTTCCTCTGCGATCTCTCCGCTCTAGGGAATAGGAGGGAAAAAAACAAACAAAGGCACTGGCTATCTGGGGGAATTCTGGGAGTTGTAGTCCACCCATCTTTAAAATACCCTGGTGTCAACTCAAAAAACATCCCTATGCCTGTTTTAGTAGTTGCCATTAAAAAGGGGGGGTAGAGGGGAGGAAGGAAATCGGGAAGAACGATTTGAAAGCGAAAGTACATTCCAACTCTTTATCTTTAAAAGTTTGTAACTAAACTACCAGAGCTTTCCCCCCCCCCCCCCGGGGAATATATTGAATTGGAGAGCGTGATTGATGACACCCAGCCTGTGAATGGGGTCAATTGGAGGGTCTGGTTTATGACACATTCGGGGGGGAGGGGGTGAAAACAGGGTCACAGATGACTGTAAATTATGTATGCCAGAGTTGGCTTCATACAGGGCAGGGCCAGTATGTTGCCTCAATTAAATCGTTTGAAGTTTTTTTTTTTGAAGTTTAGCTCGAGAATCATGATTTAATATTTAATTAGGGCAATTGCTGGAATCCTGACAGCTGGCTGGGGAATTTTGGGGAGTGGAAGTCCACGCTTTCAATTGAGAAACTATACTGTGGACAACTTTCAGCAAAGTTTGAGCCAAACAGGGTAGCTTGAGGCAGCCTCTTGATTTCGTTGCAGGGTTCGGCTGGGCCTTGGTCTTCACACCTTCCGTGGCCTCCGTGGCTTGCTACTTCAAGCGCCGCCGGACGCTGGCTACCAGTTTGGCTCTCACTGGCGTGGGGATCTCTTCCTTTGCTTTCTCCCCGCTCTTCCAATTCCTGGTGGACTCCTATGCCTGGAGGGGCGCCCTGATGATCGTGGCCGGCATGTCCTTCAACCTCGTGGTCTGCGGCGCCCTCATCCGGCCCCTGACCCTCAAGGACGACGTGCCCGGCGGAAAGCTGACGCCACCGAGCTGGAAGACGCTCTCCGATCTCTTTGGCCTGCAGTTGCTTTCTCATTGCCCGTTCATGCGGTACGTGGCGGCCATCACCTTGGTCAACACAGGCTATTTCATCCCCTATGTCCACTTGGTGGCTTGGGCGCGAGAACTGGGCTTCGATGAATACCAGGCTGCCTTTCTGATGTCCCTCACGGCCGCGGCTGATCTTTGCGGACGCCTCTTCTCCGGCTGGCTGGGCAGCTGCAGGTCATCGCAGTTGATCCACCTGCTGGTAGCCTGGACTTTCTTGACGGGCCTCTCCTTGCAGCTGATCGCTTGGGGGCGCACCTACCCGCTCCTCGTGGCCATCAGCCTTGGCTACGGATTCTTCTCGGGAGCCCTGACACCCATGGTCTTCTCCATTGTTCCGGAGATCGTGGGCATCGAGAACATCTTCAGCGCCATGGGGCTGCTGCAGATGATCGAAAGCGTTGGGGGGCTGTTGGGATCCCCCCTGTCGGGTAAGTGACACAATCTGTTCTGACTCAGCTCCCCAAACACGAGAAACCTTCTGACACGAACTCAAAAGATTTCTTTATTAGGAATTTCGGCAACCCCGGCAAAATTAAGAGACTAATCTCGCAGACTAACAAGTCCGACTGGCTGGAAGATGAATAATTGTCTGCCACATCTATTCATTTCCACCCCCGGCCTTTTATCCCCAGAGCTAGAGTGGGGCTTCACTAGTAGCGGTGACTCTTCCAACCCAAAAACCGGCTCATAGATTTCCACTGCTCTCCTCTCCTCTGCACGTCAGGCCCTGGACTCAGCTGTTCCTCCCCTTCCTCATCAGCTACCTCCAGACCTGGGGACTGTTAACTCTCCGTCGGAGGGCTGACGGACGGCCCAGGCTCCGCCTCTCTCTCTTTCTCTCTCTCTCTCTCTCTTTCTCTCTCTTTCTGCCAGCTCCATCCCCTCTTTCCCACTTGGACCCTGACTCCCACTCCTCCTCCTCCGCCTCTTCTGATTTGGTTGCTGGAGAAGCCAGCAACTGAGAGGCCACAAACACAATCGTGGGCACATGTCAGGAACTTGTTCTTTTGGTTTCTGCTGGTGTTGCAGGGATCCTGGTTACAGGAGGAAGCAGATTTTGATCCCGTTGAGATGTTGGGGTGGTGAATTATATGTTTTCCAACAGCACTGGAGGGATTCTCCAAGGTTGTATTTGGATGTTGTGCAGACCCGTTAAAGGATACGTAGACGGCAACGTTCTCCCCCCACCCGCGATGTCTGATCCCATGTCACATCATGGTTTGTTTCCCGCTTCAGGAAATGAAGCGGGGGACCCCTTAGCTTACAACAGTGATGGCGAACCTCTTTGTTGTGGTATGCCGATAGCAGGGGTGGGATTCTACCAGTTCGCACCTATTCGCTAGAACCGGTTGTTAACATTCTAAGCAGTTTGGAGAACCGGATGTTAGAAGAAATTACTGGCCTAATCCTGTAAGGGAGGCAGGAAGGAAACATTCTGGCGTTGCTTACAGAAACTGCCTCTCTGTTAACCCTTATTACATTCTTGGCAGGACTAGACTTCCTGTCTCTGGAACTTCTCTGGAGTATTTTTCCCTCCTTTGCTGGTCCTTTGTTTATGTGGAGGGACCATTCAAAGTTACAATGGCACCGAAAAAAGTGACTTATGACCATTTTTCACACTTACAACTGTTGTAGCATCCCCACAGTCATGAGAGGCCAGGCGAGGAGATGCGTGCCTCAAAGTGAGTGATGTTGAGTTGGCCACTCCCAGCCAATAACATGACCACCAAGCCACACCCACCACCTAAGCCACGCCCACAGAACCGGTTGTTAAAAATGTGAATCCCACCCCTGGCTGATAGCTTATGCATGCAAATGTGCTGGCACTCACAATACAATGTGCCCCCCCCCTGTGCATGCACACGCAACACCCCCCTTACCTGCACTGCTCATGTGCACTTCCCAGCTGATTTTCAGCCCGTTTGAGGCCATTTTCACCCTCCCAGAGTCTCGAGAGAAGCCTCTGCAAGCCTCGGGTGGCCGAAAAACGGGCCTGTTTCAGCACTTCCGGTATTTCCAGAAGGCCTGTTTTTCGGCCTCCGAAGGCTGCAGAGGCTTCACTCCAGGCTCCGGGAGGGAGAAAATAGCTTCAAATGGGCCGAAAATCAGCAGGGAGATGCCCGCGTGCGCAGTGCAGGGAAGTTTGGCTAGGGTTCGCGTGCCCGCCCAATGGGTCTGCATGCCACCTGTGCCACGCCTGCCGTAGGTTCGCTATCACAGGCTTAGAACATTGCCTGCAGAAAACAGGAAGCAGATTAGAGGAAGGGCCCAGATCCGAGGCGACTCAGGTGGAAAATAAAGGAGAACCTTTGTAATTCAGGGTTGAAATGAGGTTGCATGGTGTTCTTGGAGATTTCTGGTTTTATTGCAATGTTGTTAGCCCTGATGGTGTTCCCTAGTTGGGCCATGAAACGTCTGCAAGAAAACCACCCAGCTCAGAGAGCACCAAGGACCTCACACTCTTCCTCCCCCTCCTCCTCCCCCTCCCCACGACCCTCCCCCACCCTTCTAGCACTGTTAATGTGACCTAGCCGAGCCATGAAATATTCCCCAGCTGTGCCATCCATGCAGGCAGGATTCCAGGTGTGGTGATGTCCAGCTTGATTGGTTCCTGCAGCTACGGGTGATTGAACCAGACACTGCCATTCACCCTTGAGTTACCTTTTGGCATGGCTTCACCATTTGGCTGTTTAATTTCAGGTTGGCTGCGAGACCTCACCGGCAACTATGCGGCCTCCTTCCTTGCCGCCGGCTCTTTCCTCTTGGCCGGGAGCCTCGTCCTGATGACGGTGCCCAATTTCTCCACCTGCCTGACCCAGCCGGATTGGCACGATGCCCGGCTTGGCAGAGAGTCCGGGGATTATGATAGCCGCTTGACCTCGGTGGCTTCTGCAGGCCTATCTCCCAAAAAGGGGGGGCCGGCGGCTGAGCAGACCCCCGTTGAAGAGCTGAATGGCTGCAGGAATCCAAAGGCGGGATTTGAATCCAGAGCAGAGATGGACGGCTCTGTTGAGCAGAACTTGTGTGCATTTGATCGAGTGTGTAAAGGCTCAAGCAAGAACCAGGGGTTATTTGTCACAGCAACATAAAAAGCCCCGTTGTTACTACAGATTTACCTGCCGGTTGCCTTAAACCAGGGATCTCCAAATGTGGCCTCTTTAAAGACTGGTGGACTTCAACTCCCAGAACTCTCTGCTGGCTGGGGAATTCTGGGAGTTGAAGTCCACCAGCCTTAAAAGGGCGGAGCTTTGGAATGTCCTGCCTTAAACCATCTTCATCTGCAAAAGAGCGGGTTTTTAGGAAAGTCGAACCCGGAACCCGAAACCAATGCCCTCTGTTTAACTGGGCAACCTTGCGGGTGCAGATTCACAATGCCAGTCCTGATGGATTCCCTATTCCCTCCTCCACAGCCCTGAGATTCCCCCACCCCCCCCCCCCAAAAAAACCCTGCATTAGCCAAATATGGGTGTAGTTCCTGGGATTGGAGAGGTTAAAATCCAGCCTTTCGTGGCCAAATTTCTCAGCCAAAACTTGCCTCGGCCACCTTGGTTCCTGTCACTCTCAGCAACGGGGACAACGCTCAGTTTGGGGTTAGATGCCCCCCACAAGGGTTTCTGGTTGAACTCCCCCTTCCTCTTCCCCAAATATTCCCTGCAGAAATTCCCTCTTGCAGGAATTCCCTTGAGCAAATGCCCTCGTCCAAGTTTGCTTGCAGAAATTCCCCTGCAGAAATTCCTCACCCAAATTTGCAGAAATTCCTCTTGCACAAATTCCTCTTGCACAAATTCCCTTGCAGAAATTCCCTTCCTCAAATTCCTTCTTGCAGAAATTCCCTTCCTCAAATTCCCTCTTGCAGAAATTCCCT